ATTCCTTCTGAGGAGTGTCTGGTGGGTTTGAACCACCAGCCTTCTGGTTAGCAGTCAAGTGCCTTAGGCACTATGCTATCAGAGCTCCCCATGGAGCAGGTGGTGGGTTTGAATTGCTAACCTTTTGGTTAGCAGCTGAATGCTTTAAGCGCCACACTGGGGTGCCTCCTCTGCTATAAAAACGAGCTTCAGCCAATGCTTTGTGGGCACGGGAAGAACTTAGGACCATGGACCTCCTGAAGGGTGTACTTCAGATCCCTGACACTCTACGATAAAATTCTTCGTTTAGACTGTTGTTGTATGTTGTCCTCCTACAGCAGATGACATTTTACAGGTTACAAAATGTTTCCACATATGTTGCATCATTTAATCTTCACAAAAACCCTCTTAGGTAGTCATGACTTTCCACTTTAAAGATGAAGAAACAGAGACTCAGAGATTGAATGACTTCACCAAGACTGATAAATGAGAAGCAGGGCTCAAACCCAGATCTTCTGACTTTTAGGTCATTGTCCTAAACTGTTTGTTTTACTAATGCTACAGTTCAGTCTCCTTACGAGATGGCCATACTCTTTTTTAAATCTCAGATGTTTTATAAATTATAGTTTATTTGTAGGAATCAGGATCAAAATGTGTTTCTTAAGTCTCTTAGAGATTCCTTCCACTCTCAATTCTCCTTTTTCCATTCAGTGTATTTATTCACATCACCATGTTGTGAGGTCTCTGACATTTCCACCAACTGGATTTTGTGGGTTGTTGCAATGTATCCCTTTGTCTTCTTTATAGTATTTCCTGTACACTGGTTGTTAGATCTTGAAGGTCGATTAGATCCGGTTTGGTTTTGTTTTTCAAAATTACTACACTGTTGTTCTTATGGCAGGAATCACGTAATAGCTGCTTATCTCTCTTCTTGGGATATTAGCTGTATTTTCATGACCTGCAAAGAAGTGATGTTCCAATTCTGTCACCCCTCCTTCATTTACTAGTTTGAGTGCTTTACAAAGAGAGTGTCCTCATCAGCTGTCTGTTACTCTGAGGTCTCCTACACATGGCAGGACAAATCCTGGGTTCTTTAGCTTTAAATGACAATCACCCAGCTCCCTCCAAAGACTCTGTAGTAATATCATGAGTTCGTGAATTTAAATGTATTTCACATGGTCCACTCCATTGCAGTTATTCTTATTGGTGCTTAGATTGGCCCATTTGGGGCCAGTGGGAGCCTCTTCCAGGTGGCCCCTAAGTCTTTTGATAGAGCTCCATCATCTTTAAAAGCTCCCTGGCTTCCAGGTTCAATTGGACATTTTCTACCCCAAATCTGGCATTGGTCATTTCTGTAGGGAGTCCTGGTTGCTTTTCGGGGAACATACTAACTATTTAAAGATCTCAGTCTGGGGACTAGGGAAGGCTTGTTGCTACTAGAATGGTCCTTATGTATAGGTTTCTTTCCAATGGACAGAATGGGGAAATATTATTTTTAAAACCATACTTATTCTCATGTGTTCAAGACAGCGGGCAGAATTTGGAGGAGGCAACATGGAAAGTTCACTGAATAGAAGCATCTGATCAAGGCTTTTTTATTTCCTACTGCTTAGTAATGACCTTGACTCATTGCTGTCCCTTGGAAATACAGATTCATTCTGCCCACTGCCAAGACTGATTAAAGGCAAAAGGCTGGTGCATTAAGATATTTTAAAATGCCTCACAGTAATTCATTGCCAAAGAGGCATGCATTCACTTAGCTCTGAGTGGGACGCTGGTGGGGTTAGAATTTTCCAGGGAAGTGCCATGTCCATGCCCACTCCCGTACATTCTGTACCTGCTTCCCTGGTGCGGCAGAGCTGCCCGGGGCCATGGAGGGTGGGCCGAGAGGGAGTGGGCACTTCTCAGGGCTACCATGCTCAGATCTAAAAAGAACGGGAATAAGAGATGTCCCCTTCCTACTGGTTGTAACTTGAGAAAATGAAGGGGGCAGCGGGTTTCTGGTTGGTTGGTTGGTTTCCCTTGGAATGCGTACGTATTCAGGAATATGAGATGTAAGGGCCATTTGGACAATCCAGGTGCGATGGTGTTGAAGGTCTGCTTTAAATAATGTAATTATGTTGTCACACACACACACACACAAACACACACACGTTACTGTTAGCTGCTTCTGTGTCAGCACCAACTCATGGAGAGCCCATGCACAATGGTACAACACACTGCCCAGTGTTGCGCCATCCCCGTGATCAGCTGCGGCTAGGACCACCGTGATCCGTGGGACTGCCGTGATCCGTGGGACCGCCGTGATCCGTGGGACCGCCGTGATCCGTTCAACCACCATGATCCGTTCAACCACCATGATCCGTAGGACTGATTTGTGGAGTTAGATCACCAGGCCTTTGCTGCTAGTCAGTCTTTATCTGGAAGCTGCACTGAAGTCTGTTCAGCTTCATAGTAACACACAAGCCCCCACTGACTGATGGGCGAGCTGCACATGAGGGCAATGGTCAGGAATTGAACCCTGTTCTTCCGCGTGGAAGGCAAGGGTTCTACCACTGAACCTTCCATGCCTGTCTCTTTTGTTCTTTCTCTCTCTCACTCTACACACACACACACACACACACACACACCATTTACAACAGATAAATCCTCAATTACCTTATTCCAGAGGAGGGCTAGATTTGGGGGAAGAAGATGAGACTTTGCTAGGTGCTGTGAAAGAAGAGACACATCGCCAGTCTGAGTGTGGGGAGCGTAAGGCTTTGGGAGAGGTGACTACTGAGAGCCTGTTCTCTGTACTGTGTCCACTTTTTTTTCCTCACGATTCTGGAAACTAAAAGTCCACGTCTGTGACTCCACCACAGCCCTAAGTTCACAACTCTGAATAGTCGTCTGGCCCCTCAGGGCCCCAAGATGAACCCTAGATCTCCAGAAACCCGTTTTGGCAGGTTCTGTCTAGTGTTCACGCCAGTGTTCATGTTAAGAATATTTAGCACATTTGAGTTTTCTAAGAATTAAAAAGCGTGACAATGTCTGATTATTATGCATTAGCCAAAATAGTCAGTTGTTACAAATTCCCCAGTCTTTGCCCCAAATCTTTCTACCAGTGTGAAAATTGACAAATATCTTGCAGAACTGGATAATTGCTGTTGTTAGGTGCGTTGAGTCAGCTCCGACTCATAGAAACCCTGTGGACAACAGAATGAAGCACTGCCTGGTCCCGTGCCAGCCTCACAGTCTTTGCTGTACCTGAGTCCATGGTTGAAATCGATGTGATGTTCTAGTGCCACCACAGGAAGTAGGAGAAGGAACTTGGAGTTCCTTAGACTGAGGATCCTGAATGGTTTATTCTTTGGAGAGCGCAAGGCCGGCTGCTTTGTCGGGATGGTGTGGGACTGGACAGATGGACGACGTGGAAGGTGCGCCCTGCTGCTTCCTTGCTCATCCGCCATGGGGTACCCTAGCAGCGAGGCCCACCTTTCTCCTCTCTCCCACAGGTAAGGCCCTGGTGGCCGTGGAGCCCGGCAACCGCACGTCCCCGAGGCGCTGCGCCTGCGCAGGCGGCTACCACTGGAGTGAAGACTGCGCCTGCTGTCGCCGCAACACCGCGTGTGCGCCCGGCTTCGGCGCCCAGCACCCTTGTACGCAGTTGGGTTTGTGCGTCTGTCTGTTCTCGTCAGACCACTGCATTGAACACTGACGGCAGGGAGCTGTGAGACACTATAGGGGCGGGATGAAAGCTCCAGAAAGCCAGGTGGCGCGGGAGGGGACTGGGGGGCCCTGGTTTTCCAGGAATTGCAGGGTCATGAGGGATGCCACAGTTCAGGTTCTTCTCCGGGTATGTAAGTACCAGTCCACGTGAGATTGTTTTATCTCCTTGGCTTTAAAGAACAGAAATTTTCTCACAGTTCTGGAAGCTAAAAGTCCACATCTGGGTCTCAGAGGTACAGATTGCTTCCTTATGGGTAGCCCCAGGTGCCCCCTGCTTCTCTGGGGGGTGCTTTCATGGTGTGTCGTCCCCAGTTGGTGCATGCACGTGTTTGTGTCTGTCTGCACTTTGTGTAACCCGCAAGTGATAAGGTTTAGGATCCACTCCACACTGGTCTGACCTCAGCTGATTGATTTCATTATATTACCTTACGTTAGTTATGGAAAGTAATTGGGGAGCTCTGGTGCCGTAGTGCCTAAGGCACTTGACTGCTAACCAGGAGACTGGTGGTTCAAACCCACCAGCCACTCCTGGGAAGGAAGATGGGGCAATTTACTCCTGTAGAGATACTGCCTCGGAAACCCAAGGAGGGGATGCTGTGAGTCAGAGATGATTCGACCGCACATAACAACAGCAGCAACATGGAAAGTGATTGCATGATGTTAGATTAAATTGTATGGCCAAGTGCAGGGGTTGGAATTCCAGCACGTATTGGGGGAGGACACGATTCAGCCTATAACATGTGTGTGTATTGTGGCGCGTTCCATTTGCAGGTAGAAATGACCTTGTGTTACACATATCACCCTGTTTCTGACCCTTTTTCACTCAGTGCTCGGGTTTTTAGCTCCATACAAGTTCTGTGTCTGCTTGTGGTCTGCTGGTTCTGACTGCTGCGTGAGGCTCGATGGTGTCATCTGCCACGCTTGCATTGTTTCTCATTGCCTCCCCTCCTTGTTTCCTTGTGCTTTTCTTGGGGACACTGTGGCCTTCTCGTGGTGGAGGAGACACTTGACCTGCTCCATCTTCAATCTTTAGGAGTTCGACCTAGGAGGGAAAAGGACGGTGCAAGGCCCCTTCACACGACTTGTTGCTTCTTTAACCTTTAAAAGAATTGTCAAAAAAACATGTACTCCTAGCTCATTTTTAAGTTGACATCTAAATGTTTTTTATTATAAATTTAAGGATTTACTAAGAACTTCTTTCTAGCACATTATAACCACAGTAACACTTTAGAAAACACTCAATGGACTGTAAGCACTATCCCTCCTGTAAAACTGCATCACTCTGTTTTTAACTGTGGGAAATTTTCTTTCTCTCCAGTTCACATCCACTCTCCCTCCCCATCAGAATTCTGTTGTAATATATTTTTGGGCTTCCAAGGCTTTTGTGGGTCCTCTTTTGATACTCCTTTGCATCTATTTGAATCTCAGTTTTTAAAAAGTGTCCTGAGACTCAGGGCTCTAAGAATTTAAAACATGTCTTCTGGACTGAGTTGTCATTACAGGTACTACTACACAATTGATCAAAAATGAATATATGATATTTTGGTATATTAAAATCATAGAAGGTTTGGAACTTCATAATCAGTGACTTTTTTCCTAATTAATTCATATGTTCATGGATGAATAGTACTTAATACCATAAGGTGACAGGATTCAACATGTTCTGTTCCTACTTTTTGTTTTTCTATATGTAAGTGCTAAGAAATCTGCTCACCTAAACAGCTAAATGGCTGAGGAGGGACTTCTACTCTAGCAGAGTCATTCAGTTCCTGCAGTTCTTTATATACCTCTGAATTAGATGCCAAAGATCACATGAGAATGTAGCCTCAAGAGTTGCTTTTCATGGCCTATCAGTTGAAAACTCGATTGTGTCCTGCAATTTTGTTGAAAGCAAAGCAAAGAAGCCACCTGACTTACAGAAAACATGTCTTAGAGTCACTTACTTGCCCATTTTCAGGAAGATCACCAAAGTGGTTTATTCAAGACCTCACTGTTTTTATTGTTGTTACGTGCTGTCGAGTCGGACCTGACTCATAGAGACCCCTCCTTGGGTTTCTGAGGCAGTATCACTATGGAAGTAGATTGCTCAACCTTCCTTCCGAGGAGTGGCTGGTGGGTTTGAACCACCAGCCTCCCGGTTAGTAGTCAAATGCCTTAGACACTACGCTAATGATGCCTATTAATCTTTCACTTAGAGTTATCTTGTTTTAAGCAAGTGTACCTAGACAGGGTTGGGAGAACTGAAATAGTATTTGTTTCAATTCATATTGAGGAAAATGTCCACCATAGAGTTTAAATGGCATCTTCAGTCCTTACTGTCAAGTATCTCAAGCAAATGAGATGAGCCTTCTCTTGGAAAACATCTGACTCAATTTTCAATGATTAGAAGAAGTTTCCCCCTGACCACCATCTCCCTTCTGGATTCTGATTCTAAGATGAAAGAAGCCCACAGCCCTTCTTGGTGTTTGTCATCTGGATGAAGTAAGGTGCTGTTGCCTTCAAGGATCCTTATTAACGTTCCTCCTGCCCTGCTGTCAAGGACTCTCCTACTGGAATGACACATTCATTAACAGGGGTGGAGGGTAGAGGAGGGGAGAGGGTGAATGAAAATGATCGCTCCTGCCCACCTTGCAATATATTTGAATTCAGAACAACGCAAAATGGGCCCCAAATCCCATTTCTGTGCCACCTCTTTGCCCTTGGTAGATAGGGATAGACAGAAGCCACCCTTCAGGCCTCTGAATACAAAGACCTTGTCATCAGCAAGATTACAGTGTGTTGAGTTGCTAGTTATCCTTGATGTGTGGCATCATTGTAGATTCAGGGTAGGGGAGAAGTGTCCCTTCTCTTTCTAAAGTGAGAGAAACGTGATCGTGCAGGAAGCCTCAGGCAGGTCTGTTTCATCAAAGAGGAGATATGGACGTTAAGTGTATAGGAATTAATGCTTGTAAAACTTTGGGTATCTTGTCTCTGTGGTATGGGGGGCTGCTCTTCTAGATTGGGTTCCTCTTTAAAAAGGCTACTTGAATGACATGAGTGACTAGATGTTTAATGGCTTTTGTTAATATGCTTTCAAGGCGAATCAGAATTGTGAGATCAATGGGAAGATCTTATTTGTCACGTTAAATTGCAGAAATCAAGAATGTGCTTCGTGCTTGACTTTAGACAAAGAAAGCGTAATTCCTTATTTAGTGTTCTATTCATGAGAATAAATCACAGAAGTGCTACTAATTTCAAGAGCAGTTTGTGGTTTGGGTTCTAACCAGTTGACTGCTTATGAGCTCACATGGTAGCCAATGTTCTTCACTAGAATTACCAAAAGGTAACTGGATGAGTTACAGTACAGACACATGCAAATGTAATAGACATGAAACCTGCGGGCTCTTGTGTTCTAAGAACGTAGTTTATGAGGAATGTGACAGAGGTGAATAAAGCTTACTCACCAGGGTCAGCTTCTGCTTTCAACACTGTACTTTAAGCAGCGGTTTCAAGCCAGCCTGCCTGCTGTATTTGTAAATAAAGTTTTATTGGAACACAGTTATCCCACTCTCTGACTGCTTTCATACAAGTAGTCATAGTAGAGATCATAAGGCCCACAAAGCCTAAAATATTTACCATACAGCCCTTTACAGAAAATGGTCGTCAACCCCTTAAAAGTTCAAGGAAAAGAGACCTATAGAGCTCTTTTTTTTTTTTTTTTAATTGAGAAAACTTTGTCGTCACTCAAACAAACATGGGATTAAGCTGGTGAGAAGGGGTCAGGACAGGAAGTTTCCCTTAAAAGCAGTAATAGGGATGCCTTTCCCTAAGGATGAAGGCTGACATAAGAAATAAAGGCAGAAAGAGAATAGCAGGCTGGTATCTGGTTAAAGCAGGAGTTGGAGAGCTGGAACTAACAACCAGGGTTTGCAGACTAGGAGACAAAGTCCCAAGGACCAGGACCATAGCTCTGAACAACATGGGGTGAGGGCAGAGAGCCGGGACCTGCACAGCCGATGCCTGGGGTTAGCAGCCCAACTTTGAGCCAGTTACCTTTCTGAACTCAATTCCTTTAACTCATTGCTGGGGTCAGAACTGGGATTAGCCACCTTTGGGGGCAGAGACATGGAGAAAAAGAGCTGAGAGAGTTAGTGCAGGACTTCTGGCGCTAGGGCCACCATCTTGGCCGATCTCTAAGTGTTCCTTGTCTGTTTTCTGCTTGTTCCTTTTGTGTCTTGTCTTTTGGACAGTGCAGCTCAACAAGGACACAGTGTGCAAGCCTTGCCTTGCGGGCTACTTCTCGGATGCCTTTTCTTCCACGGATAAGTGCAAACCCTGGACCAAGTAAGTGACCACAGAAGGAGCCAAGAGAGCAGGCTGGTGTTAAACAACTTGACCTCCATTGTCTCATCTCAGTTGGGAACAGACTGATTCGATTTGGTTAGACTCCCTCTTTAAGCTTTGTTCAGAATGAATCCTGTCAACTGGAGGTGGGAAAATAAACCAGCCAAACCAATTCAACTCATTGTGTGACAGGAGCTTTGGGTTACTTTTTAGAATCAGTTGTCTATGGCCGTTGGCTTATAGTTGTAGCTTTTTTCCTTTGTTTAACCTTATTTCATTGAAAGTGATTTATAACATTTATTATCATTCATTCTCCTGTGTGTGTGTGTGTACGCACACGCAGACAGAAACTTCCTGTTTATGTAAGTGTTTGCATACTGTGCATTCCTGGG